AGGGGTTCTAGTACGCCAGTAATTTTTGCATTTTAAATCTCACACCAGGGTTGGCATAATATGCTCTTAAATATGCCGAAAGGAACATTCAAAACCTGAATCAACTGCAGCAATCGTACAGTATCTCGACAAATGAAAGGTTGTTTCCATGAAAACGCAGGTTTTTATGTGATTTGGAAATATCAGCGAGACTTCATTCATGGAATGTACAAACTGGCCATAAAGATTTAATTGATACAAAATGAGCTTATATACGAAACCTCGAGAGAGAGTTCTATAAACGAAGTGTCGAAACGTTGAACGTTAAGGGAATAAGTGAATGATGATTCGAAGAATGCCACGTTAAAATCGACTTTAACCTATAAATTTCATTAAGGGACGGATTGTCGAAAAAATAAAAAAAAAAGTACCTCAAGAACAAAAGCTACATTCATTCTGTTCATTCTTCAGTGTTTATGGTACCAATATTCATTTTATTTGGAAGGAGTGCCGTAAAGCGACCTCCCATATCTCATGGAAATTTGTAGAGTTCTCAACGAAACACAGAACTCTGGATGTTCGTACCACATATTTAAGAACGTTGAGCGGGTCAAAAACAAAAGCCTTACTTGTTGTTATTATTATAGCATCCATAAGAAGAGCGAGCGAGCAACTCAATTGAAAAAGGCGAAGAAATCTCCAAAATGAAATTTCTCAATACCTTTCTGATGTATGCGAACTATCTCGAAAAAAGTCTTTTTTGATGTACTAAAACTATTCTTTAATTTTACTCACAAACGCAATTTAATATATTATACAAGAGATGGATTCAACTATCATCGTTCAGTTGCACATGAAAGAAATGCACTTTGAGATAAATTATTCACACTATTGTACACATATATGTTTTTAAAGTATCATTGTGAGCAGGGTATAGCCAAGTGAGAAAGGTGTTCCTTACGAGACTCAAGGGGAGGAGACTCGTGGGGTCTTGGCTAGCGCATTCGACTTCGACCGCAGGGGATCGAGTTCGATTCCCAGTCAATACGTATGGAATGTGTGGTGGACAAAACGACCTCTCGTCTCCTCACCCTCTCACCCCATGACTCTTTAGCTGTAATACACAAAATGAGAGCGTTTGGATTTTTTATTGCATTTTTGGGAAGTGTATCTAATCTGGGCATTCCTACTACGTAGACAGAACTGTCAAACAGGCAGATTATCAAAATCTATAAATATTAAGTTGATTCTGATATTTTGTGCAATTTAATCGCAAGGATCTAATTCGGTTTATTAACAAATGATGAACAATATTACGTGTTAAAGCATGCGCAATACTGGGCCATGAGATCTAACGTATAATTTAGGGTAAGGCCATTCGAAGTTATGTTTGAGTGTGAAGCTATTTTCACTTTTAAATCAACGATTTACAAAGAAGGTTACTTACAAAAGGCTGCCAAGGGTGACTTTCGTGAAGAAATGAATCAATACACGGTTTAGCTCACTTGACCACGCGGCAGGTTAATTACTTTATGTTTTCGGGATCGACAACGGTTCCTGACAGCTCCGCCATAGCTATTCCCGTCATTGTAGAGCATGTTATATCCTGGGATAATATTAGCAAACTGCACATTTATTCGGCAGATGTTTGCAAGGTTTCGTGCTCCTCACCCGCCAACCAATCAGAGTGGCCCGGTCCCGAATGAATGTGCAGTTCGCTGGTGTGCATTCCCGGAGACGGCAGTTGCTCTCCCGCTGGAAAGCAGGATCTGGAACCGACCTGCATGGCGGCTAGCGAGGTTTCCTCGTGATCCTCTCGGTATGCCCGCCAGCGGAGCACGGCGCCAGTCGGGACACGCTCTAAGCTCCCGACTGGTCTTGCAATGTGGGTGGTAATGTTAGTGCATCCACGTGTGTGTGTGTGCGTGTGTGTGCGTGTGCGTGTGCGTGTGCGTGTGCGTGTGCGTGTGTGTGTGTGTGTGTGTGTGTGCGTGTGCGCGTAAATGTGTAAGAGGAGAGGCGGTGAGATCGTGTGAGGTTCTCTGTTCCGGCTTTCACATGGTATTCATCAGAGCAACTGGCCACTAGACTTCCAGACAAGGTTGAATTTCACCAACTAGCTATCTAAATAGAGTCGAAAATCCGCCACCATTGGGACGCGAATCTTAAGACCTCCCGGTCAAAGACATTGCAGAGGGAACAGTTACCCTGAGCCATCTCAGCCGGTGTCAAATAGCAGGTCATAACGGAGTGGGGATACAATTTAAAAATTGCATAATTCTGTTAGGGATCAAATGAGTCCTTAACCAACTTTGTACGAAGTTTGGGGGCTTCTCAATCAGTATCACGCATCAAACTCGGCACTCTTGAAGTGCATTAAAATACACCAACTTATGATTAAATAAATGTAATACACTTATTCTATTAATTAGAGTTCGTGTATTATATTTATTATCAATTATATTACTTATCAATTATTAATAAGTAAGGTCTAAAAATGCAAGACGTTTGGAAAATTGTGTAACCAGGCTTCTACGTACGATCTGTGCCGGAGTTAGGCATGAACAGACTGAGCGATCTCCCGAGGTTACGCAAGTCAAGGGCCCCAATTATGATACTAAAGAGGGGGGGATTGTAAAAAATTGAAAAAGAAATTAGAACTCGAGAAAATCGCTATCGCAATTTTATAAATCGCGGTACAGTTGTCTGATATTTCACAACATTTTCAATTAATTTTTGGATTTAACTAGTTAAATATAGTCATTTCTTATAAGGTAGGCCTCTATGAAATGATAATAAGTCACAAAATTCTGAGAATTTTACAAAGCAATGTCATTGAAAGATTTTTAAACCTTTAAATTTTCTCCTTTTAACATCAAAGATATTTTAATTGCATTTTTGAAAATTATATGTATTTTACGGATATTGGCCATATTGTTTCAATGAAGTTTAAGACGGAATATCTCGAATTGTAGACGAGAGGGCTAAATTTCAATAGTGTCGTATGAACACACGGACTCGAAGGGCCCGGGCCCAGGACGCTCAAAGTTCAAGGGCCCCCATAGTTCTTAAAAAGTTATTTAGTTAAAAAGTATAAAAAGTGATGTATGGTTAAATTGTACGCAGAAAACGGCATAACGGGGTGATGTGTCGCGCATCGTTGGATAATATTTATAATTTGGAATGTTGCTGGTTGATTCGTTTCAATTTTATATTGTACAATTCAATAAAAAATTAAAACTTTTTAATTTGAAATTCAATGTAATTATAAATTTGTTACTCCTACTTATACATTCATGTTTAAATCTTTTGTTTGAATAACGTTAAATTGAAACACTGACAAATACTTTCAAAAATATTTTTTTAAATATATAAAATACAATGTAAATTTATAAGATTTTCTTTTCACTTCGGCATCGACATTGGGGGCGGGTGAGAATCGGTGAAAGTAAGAAAAGAGGCCCTCAAATTAACCTATGCCCAAGGGCTCCACAATGCTTTTGGCCTTGCGTTTCAGTATTGCCCCCGTGCCCAGGATTGTCTACTAGGCAGTGTCGGCTCCAGGCACGGGCAGGCCGGGTGATGGCCCGGGGCCCTGCAAGTGAAGGGGCCCAACGATGGGAAAAATTGATGGGAAAAAATTAGTAACAAATTTAAAAAGAAATTACAAATCGAGAAAATTGTTATCGTAATTTTATAAGTCGCAACACAATTGTTTTATATTTCATAAAATTTTCTTTTTTTTTTTTTTTTTTTACTTTTAACAGTTTATTATAGTGATTACTTGTAAGGTAGACTTTTACATTTTTAATTTTTTCGAGGGGGAGGAGGAACTAGGCTTCAGCATTGCCCCGGCCCAAGATCGCCTCCTAGTTCCGCCACTGCCTGCGCTGCGCCGCTCGCGAAGGCCGTGCGGTGCCCGCCGGAACTCACGTGCAGCGCGCGCGCCAGCTCGTCGGCCTCCGCCTGCACGTTGCGCTCCGCCTGCTCGCGCAGCCGCGCCTGCCGCTCCGTGCGCAGCTCCAGCGTCTGCGCGTCGGCGCGCGCCGCCAGCGCCACCGCGCGGTACTTGCTCTCCATCTCCGCCGCCGCCGCCGCCTCGCCTCCGCGGCTCCTGCGCAACACACACACACACACACGCTCTTGGCAAGTGTCAGAAATAAAGAAATGTCATATAATTAATAATATGGATGGAATATAAAACGTCATTGATCGGTTGATTATTTCGTGTTTTCCGGACTACTGCTAAAGTCATTAGTCCTGAAAATGTAGTGCATGTTTTTTTCCTCGCGAAGAGGTTGTGATCCCCTGCTAGATGTTGAGATCCGGTGCCGACCTACACATGGGATACTGTTTTCCCCAACCAGATATCTCCCACTACCGGAGCACCGTCCAAGCGCCCCAGCTGGGACAAACTCTAAGCTCCCCCACTCGTCTCTCGAACATGTATGGTTGTGTTGTGCATGTGAATGTTTGTGTGTGTCTGTGTAAGTCAGGGGTAGGATAGGACAAGGAATGGAAAGGAAAGATCACGCGCGGTCCGTGGTACATTTGTTAGAGTACTACTCCGGCATTCGCCCGGCGTTGATCGGAGAAACCACTGAAAACTACCGATCAGATCAGTCAGTTGCTAGAATTCTCCTCCATACACCGTCAGGGCACAAACACTAGGACCTCCCGGTCAGAGGCACTACAGTGACATCAGTTCATGGCCTGAGCCACCTAAGCCGGTGCACTCGCCCCCCCCTGCAATAAACTCCAATCTTGACAACTGGCAGAAATGTAGAAATGTTACAAAATTAAACTGTACATAAAAATAATTAATGTAATATGTATTTTTTCTAACATGTTTTTTGAGATTCCTTTCTTTTATACTCTTCCAAAGAGTCTTCAAACGCGTACACTTTAATTAGGGGCTACTTTCCTCCCCACCGTACCGTACAATTTCGTAACAATGTGACCAAACCACTCTCCCATCCTGGCGTGTAAGTGTTCCCAGAATGACTCCTTATGGGTTGGGGAGTTTTACGAGCTAAGAAAGAGAACACATTCATTTTTCTGAAGAGCAAAGGTGGGCGTGGGCAAAAGTCAAAACATCCTTTTTCTACACAAAACTAAGTTCTTCCGTATGGTATTTCAAGATTATGAATGATGCTTATACGAAAGCAGAAAGGCAGTTTTTGCTTCATGTATGCTCTTAAAAACATAAGCAAATCATATTCCTAAATTATTCACTGAAAATTACGTGTACATGATGAAAATGGCTTTTGCCACTTTTTGTTACCCACTGCCACGGTATCAGATATCAACAAGATGAAATATATCACATGACATCCCGCCACTTTACTTTATAAAATGTCAGGTCACATCACACCATTTCATTTCATATCACGTCGCACTACATCACATCGCCTGGTCTCAAGAAAAGCGTCATCGAGAAAATGAGCGGAGCCAAAGAAAGTGTTTTACTCTGTATTGCAACTGTCTTGTGAACAATCTATCTTTACGAATATTTTAGTAGTAAAAATAAACAATTTTCTTCGCTCAATTAAAAAATGACAATTCTTTCGATGAGTCAGTTTGGTTTTGCACCTTGCAGGTGCTTTGTGCAAGGTGACAAAATAATTAGACAAGAGGGCATGGGGACCATGGCACCCTCAAAAGACCTAGTGTTTGTTTACATTTGTTTATTTGGCAAAATAAATTTAAATATTTATTTATATTCAAATTATGTATTTTTTGAAACATTAATATTGTTTAGAACCATATCGACAGAACGTAAATAATATACTGTTTAACTCAAATCTACGACTGCCACCTCCAAAATGGTCGGCTGGATCCATCCATGAATGAAGAGAGCTAGTATTTGTTCATTATTCAAAGCTGACCTCCAATGTGTACAACTGCCCGATATTAATTGTAAAAAAAATGCGTTCGCATGCACACTCTTAGAGGTTCTGTTTGCGGAGGAAGTGTTTAATCCAACTTGAAGAGGGAGTAGAGTTCGCGAGATTACAGGGCCTTTCCGGACACGTTATCTCAGACCACATCCGCAAGGCAATTCGGGAAGAGGTCCAAACATCAAAGCTCCATTTTTACTTCACAGATCAGCAAGATCAAACCTAAATGGTGAAGTCATGCCACGGCAAGGTTCCAAAAGGATGAATGGTTTAATTGTCACAATAACGAAGAAGGTAATGATACCCATACTAGAATAGCACACACAAATTCATTGTTTCATAATTTGCTTTCCCCTTGCATAAAGTGAGAAGTGTACTCGACTCATTAACTAACATTAACACAGAACCAAAATTAATTAAGTTAGAAACGATAACTTTGTAATATAGGCTTTTATTACATTTGTATCCACTTGGAAAGTATTTTTGAAAATTTATCAAATGAAGGGACACAAACGAGTTTTTGTTCAATTCGTTTATCATCCCTATACAATATTTCAGTAAAACTCGGAGTTTGCGTACGTTCGGATGTGCGATTCCGTCACACGCGGCTAGACTACTTCCCGCAATCGAGACGTATGAGGTGCCATTCGACGCGTCTCGATCTCCAAATGGGGGACTGATAATTTGTTTTTGAATCCGGCCAGGGAGTCAAATAAATTTCCAAAAATGTGTTCATTCGTGTTTTGGCGCTGCTATATTGGTGATAATGCCAGGAATGAAACCAACACCTTCTAAATGGATCTATGAAGGTGGCGTTTATTAAACTACAGAACCCAAAGCATTTTCCGCTTTTACGACGTTGGCTACACTGATGTTAACATCTTTAAGTGAACAATTGAATTAGCAAGTGAATGGCGCAGCAGATTTCAATTTGTTTCGAATTATTGTATTTAAAAAAATAAATTTGCGAAAACCCATGAACTTCTTGCATGGAACTTCTTAAACTTGAAGAATTTCAAGTGAATACGCAGAAAACAAAATTATGAGGAATGAAAGAACGTTCTTATGTTCGACGTCTTACTTTTACGTTCTTACATAAGTGTGCAAATACCGGTTTTCAAATGAAAGTGACTCACAACTGATTCTTATAAAACTTAACAAACACGTTATTGACATAAACCTACAACACAATCACCTTTTAATGTTAGATTCGTATGCAACGCTACATTCACATATAAATAGATTAATAGAGCAATTGCAGAAGAGAAGTTAAGACAAATTATACCGAGTTTGTGAAGTTTTAAAATCTTCAAAAATTACGGGAGAAAAAAATGGAAGTGTTTAGGAAATTCGGGAAAGAATCAAATGTAGTTGGAAAAATGTTGCAACAGAATTTTAGAAACTAATTGGTAATGATCTGCACTTTCACATTTAGCATTTTTGCTAATGTAAATGTGCTATGTGCAATTTTGTGCATATTAGCAAAAAAGCTTAAAGATGTAGCTGTATTAAAATTAAACTATTAGCATCATCAAAACCTGCGAGTACGAGTATTTGATATGGCGATTATTATTTTAGAATTGCAATAAGACCAGTTCATATCCCATATGGAGGTAACATACAAGGCCATTGGGTGTTAAGAACTTTTGAACGGGAGTATAACATTATCAGCTACTACGATTCATTGGTAAGTCTGAAAGAATATATTTAAACAAAGCTGGGCATGAAAGGAAAGAAGTGTGAAAGAAAATTTAAACACATGAAACTATTTTTAAAACTGTTTGCAGGATCGGCGACGCCACATTATACTACATTATAGTATTTCGCATGCATCTAAGCGTTAAGGATAGCAGAGCGGAGCGGGCAAGAACTCACGGTGTGGGGCTTCTGATCAGGAAGAAGAGCCAGCGCCCAAGCAAATGGAATGGAGATTGACGTCTTATGAGTAAAAGAGCTTGAAAAATTAACTAACATGACGACATAGTTAGGAATTTATGAAATGATACCTACTGATAATAAGAAGTCCATAGTACCATTAATAAATGTATAGGACACAGTTTTCGCGAGATGGAAACCAAATGAAAAACAATATCATTGTTATTGTTTTCGCTTTCTGAATACGTAATTCCGAAACATATTATATTTCCTTGAAGATCTTCCAAATGAAATGTTCCAAAACTTCGGTGTACGAGTACTTCGACGTTTCTTTTGATACACGGAACAGAACCTGATTAAACCCCATGAACTGAATAATTCATGAAAAACATTTTGCAATTATCAGACAGGATCGACGGTGTCCATCATTTCGCATTCGCGAGTGACTATTCCAAGTCTTGCTCGGCACTGAGGGGACGCTCATCGGCCAGCTATGATCATAAACAGCTCGGCGCCGAAGTCAGGAGCCTTCGCGTTGCACACAGACGGCGCTTGTTGCTCAGGCGGTGGCGGTGGCGGTGGCGGTGGCGGTGGCGGTGGCGGCGGCGGCGGCCTCAGTGGTAGCGATGCTAGCGTGGTGGCGGTGGTAGCGGTGGTAGCAGTGGGGCGGTGTAGCCAGTGGTTAGCGATGCTAGCGGTGGTGGCGGTGGTAGCGGTGGTAGCAGCTTGGCGGCGGTGGTACCAGTGGTAGCGATGCTAGCGTGGTAGCGTATGCTAGCGGTGGTAGCGATGGTAGGTGGTAGTGGTAAGCAGTGGTAGCCGATGGCTAGCGGTGGTAAGCGGCCGCTCGGGCTATCGTCGTTCGAACCGGAAGACGCGAGAATTTTTTCGCGTGGGCTCCTGCTATCCGCTCACTCTCGGACAGAGAACATGAACGGCTGCAGGAAACTATTTAAGGGGAGTTTAAAAATATTACAATATTTTCTTATACTCTCTCGCTACTGCTTTCGCAGTAAGCAAAGAAAGTGCCTGTAATGGCTAAATCGGAAAAAACAGGAAATTTTCGACTGCAAAACTTTATTGGGCGGGTTCAGATATTGAAAAACTGGATAATACTTGTTTTTTTGTTTATAGGTAAATTACTTCCTATAAAACGTTGTGTAGTTAGAAAATTCCACGCTTTGGGTTGAGTCCTGGATACGCGAAAAATTTGATTTAACGGCAAATCGTCCGTCCGACAGTACGTCTGAAAAACACGGGGAACCTGTAGGGCATACTATACTAACTACTACTACCGTAGCAATACTATACTACTACTATAACCGTAGCCATACTACTACTACTACTAACTACTACTACTACGTAGCAATCTACTACTACTACTACTACTACTACTACTGACTACTACTATACTACTACTACTACTACTACCGTAGCAATACTACTACTACTACTACTACTACTACTACTACTGTAGCAATACTACTACTACTGTAACAAAACTACTACTGTAACAATACTACTACTACTGTAGCAATACTAAACAACATATTTGGCTAAATTGTATTTGCCGAGTATTTTTCTTGAAGTTAAAAATATACCTCTTGTCCACTACAAGTCCTCTTGTCCAAAGTCCACTACAAATAAACGATACTTCTGATTCTCAGTATTATTTATCGTTTCCAAAATTATAACACATCCTCCTACATGCAAAACAAACAAACAAAACAAAAGCGCTCCTTATTTTTTTATTCAATAAAAAAATCAATCAAAACTTTAAAGGAGTATTGAAACAGGGCTGGGAGTTCCTGCTATGTGTTCTACTGGCGTTCTCGGACTAGCCAGAATCAAGAGCCACACGTTTGAACACAAGTTGGATCTTCTTCGTTTGATGTAATTAACCATGAGGTGAGGGCGGCACTCGTACCTAATTAGCAAGCCATGTCCAATTGTTTCCTCTTACAAAGAAAATACAAGACACTCCGCCGGGGTACTCGCTACGTCTGAAGCAACGGTTGCTTTTACAAGAAGAACAACTCAAGGGTCAAAGTGGCCGTCGCTGTGTGTGGAAAGTGGGTTATCGTGAACTCGGCATCAGGTATGCTAACCACCCGTGTACGACGCTCTTTTCTGACGAAATGCAACCTAAGTTTCTACACGACATGTGGTCGACAAGTCACTATTTGCAAGCATATCTTAACTGTACAACAGGGCGTCGTGTAAGCAATCCACTATAAAAAAATAATAAAACTTACGATGTGTTTATTGGTATTACCTTGACGATTATGTTTGTACTCCGTATCGAACTCGGTACAGTAACGGGCAGTTTTAAAGCTGACTATATTCAATATGGAAATGATTATCAATTACTAAGTTACGCAGATAAAATAAATAAAATAATTAGAAATGATAATTTATTATTAAAATTAATTATTAGCTTTCAACTCAAAACACTTTAAACAACAAGGGTTTAAGTCTGCGGAAATTTCACTTATTGTCATTCAAACCTCGTTAGTGCTACGATTAAAACAGTGATTTTGAATGAAAACACAAAATTACACAGAATTAAGTACATGTGAAAACAAAAAAAAAATATTTTAAGAATATTCAGCAAATCAACCTACTCCTAATTGAAATAATAACTATCATAATTAAATACTCTCTAATATTCCGAATAAATCAGACGCAAATGAACATACACTACACCAATCAGTACATATAGAGGTCATCTAGGGACTCTTATGCTTTGTCACAATCTTATTCCGTACACTTCTTGAGATGGACGTTTATTTGCAAAATTTAAGACTCTCTATTTTCATAATTCTTTGTTTCTATTCTCCTGAACACTGTATTGAGTCTCTATATGCCAAACTAAATGATGATTTACTTAAATTCCAAAGAGGAGAGATAGCTTAACCACTGCACCAGACCTTCCTTCGGACAATGTGTATCAAGGTTAAGAGCAAGAGAGTTCAGTATGAAAATGTCCCACAATACCAACGAGACTAGATACCTCATGATGGTTTTTCCTCATGTGAAGAATTCCCACGTGTTAGCGCAATGTTCACACGATGCACATGCGTAGGCCAAGAGGAAAATAACAACCTGACCGAAGACTCCCATTGTGTACAAGCGTGTATACACTCCTAGTATATACGCGTATGTTCATTAAGAGAAGCTTAAATTCGAAGTGAAAGACATAAATACTGAACTTTCAGAATTTTAATGTTGCGTAAGAATTGCGAATGTTTCGTAGAACGCATCCCAAATTTCTTTTCTAATTCTGGTTCTTGTTCTTGTCACGATGTTCTTTTGAGCTTGATTATTAGAGTGATCAGGTGAGAACTCATCGTCAAGAGTTTGAGAGGCCAACTAAACAACGAATCTTCATGGTTCAAAAACTGAACCTTCTGTTCTGAATCGAAAAACGTTAAAGTACGTTAACGTTGAAATAATGGACGACATACAACGCGGATCTCTACCCTCAATGATTTACTCACTGTGGAACTCTGCGTGGAAGTATCACATTTCCCTTCAAAGAAAAGGATCATCAAAGTAGCGGAGAACATAAATACTGTAAATAAAATATAATTAGTTAAAATGAATTCATATGTTGCGATGCACTCTCAAGGACTGATCGTAATTTTAATTACGAATTGTATATGCGTTGATCGATACTATCCGTGAAAACTTGACTGTTCTAAGGCATGCAATAAATTCACAAACTACACTTTACAATTTAGCGATTTTATCGGCGAAAAGAAGAACAACATTACTGTGATGCATTTGATTACAATAAATACAATAGTGTGATTGTTTCACGTGTTCATGGAAGGAATGAGGTGGCTCCCTGCAAAACCTGCATGAACCCATTTCATTGATTCACGTTGATTTTTTTTATTTTTTAGGTCGCTTTTTGACTACTAGATAATTTAGCGACCACTTTGATTGTATACATTTGGGTAACTGTAGGGGGAAACACAAACACACAATCATCCATGCACGAGGCGGGATTCGAAAGCACGGCCCTTCGAGCCGAGGCAACTATGGCCCTACAGCCTTAGCGACCTCAGATATCCAGGCCGGCATTGAACTTCTTTATTAACAGAAATTGTATTTAAAACTTAAATCTTAAAATTTTTAAAAAAATCGCAATAAATATTTACAAATATTTTAAATAATCTGTACTGACTGTGTTTGAGAGAATCGAGTAAATATTCTATACTTTTGACTTTAAATACAGATTAAAATTTAGACAATGGATATGGAGTTATGTTTTACTTCTGTGAAGCCAAGACCCACTTGAACGTAGTTCACGTAAATAATTACGACACTATGATATTACTGATACAGAATATGGAATCGTGGGTTCCATGAAGAGAAAGTAAGTTTATTTGGTGATTTTATGTTTTTACTAACTTGTCTGCGATGAGACAGAATACATTTTTTGTACACTGGTATACAAAAATAATGACCTTTAGCTGGCACACCAGCAACGGAAACAAGTGGGAGTAAAAAACGAACATTCCTATCAGATAACGTCGTGTCAGTTGGAGATGGCAGCACTTCTTCCGCAATTTCCATTGGCCTTGTTCGAACCCTCGCTGGAAATGAAATGCTCTACCCAGAATACAAGTGCCCGAGCTCATCCTCGGACCAGTCAGTTTCTCTACATTTTCCAGCTTGGCTCTTCTGAAGATTTTTTGAGCGTGATTGCAATCAGTGCTCTAAAAGAACGGCGCTGATCTACTACCATAAAAAGACTCTAGGTAGCTACCTGGAACGCCAAAACGTTCTAGCGGTCCCCTATCGGTATCATATGAATGAAATTAGTTTTGCTTACGAAACGTACATAAGATGTGAAGGCTGACAAGAAAAAGGAATCACCAAACCTAAACCCTTAATCCATTATAGAAATGGTCAGCACTTCCCAAACATTCAATGGCATACCAGTAATGCTAATTGTTTGCCAAATAATACTGGCTGACCCCAGAAAACATTGAATTTGGAAATTTTGCAAGTGCTGAACAATACACATTTGGGCTTTATAAAATGATATATTTTAACCAAGAGAAAAAATGTAGTGCATGAATAATATACATTCAAATAAAATTACAAGTGCAATATATAAACTGCCCGAGCTATTTATACCATTTAATAGATCGCTAGCAAATATCAATTAACAAACACGAAAAACATTTAGAGTGACGGAAATAAGAATTTGGAAAAACCTGAATACGTTTTAATAAATATTTCTTGTAATTATTTGTGTAAATATATGAACCCCCGGCTGTAAAAAAAATAGTTACATTATTACGAGAAAAAATATTTCAATAATAGTTTAAAAATATTCTTACTCTGACGCAATGGTAATAAATCACCATAACAAGGATCAATTGAAGGATATAAACACACTCAATGCAAAGAACTTTGGCTCCCGCACACATGCAAATACGTATGTTGCGCGTGCACACACGCACACGCTCACAACATGCACTCGCGCTCTAGCGAATGCTCCGGAACACGCGATGAGAACGCACTTTTGTTTTTCTCGCATCACACAGTACAGAACGCTATATGGGGCAAGCTCGCGACTTGGAAGGCCATTTGCCATTATTGTGGGAATTCTGGTGCGGTGTTGTTGAAGAAATGAAAGAAGTCATCTCCGTCAATTTAATATGGTAACTTAATTAAGTTGACAGAGATGACTTGTTTTATTTCTTCATTTGCCATTATGCATCGCTAAATAAACCCAAATTAACGGAATATCTTGTGAAAATCTCGATTACAATCTTCTTAACTGCTCGACCCTGAAATGGAACTAGCATTATTATCCGAACGATGTAATCTGTAGGAAAATAGTGCACACAGAGAAGCTCTGTGAGTGGCCACGAGCAGATGCAGAACGCTCATTGACAAATTAAGCCCTCTACGAACCTTGTCACCGATGTTGTCATTAGGCGGATCATGCCAACTTTCTCGGGAGTTCCGTCACGTTTACACGTTCATCGCGTGACGGTCTGAACTTATCTTTCCCGATAAGACGGTAGACGGGCGCTTCCCGCGAAACAAAACGGCTCTCGCACAAAGCACTACATACATACACATCCACACATCCAGGGGCGCGAAAATAAAGCTGCCCGCCGCAGTCGCGCGAACTCACTGTGGCAGGATGCCCAATTGCTCCAGCACCCGTTCCAGGGCGGGAGGGGCGGCGGGGTCCCGCGCGGAGGGTGTCGCCCGCGGCGCCGCCCCCGGCGTCGCGCCGCCGCCGCCGCCGCCGCCAGCACCGGCTCCGGAAGGCGGCGACGCCTGCGCAAACAGACGCCTGTTTATCCGCCTCCGCCGACGACCTCCGCCGCCTGTTTGGGTTGGCAGCGCCCGCGCGCACACGCTGCCGCTGCGAAGCGCCGCGCACTCGCCTATCGCGCACAGTGGGCCAGCTGGCGTCGCTCAAGGCCGCCGCCACGGACCATTTTTAATTCCATTTTTACCTCTTTTTGAAAACATTTATACTAATTCATAAACGTTAAAAAATAATGAGACATGACACACTAAGCTCTTATTTCATTAATTAGTTTTGACTTTCGCGTTTTATTTTTCTACTTTCATTGATTTGCTTTCACCTACAATATTTGATAACCAATAAATAAAAACTTCCAAATACCCAATTTATCTTGTTTTTCATTCCGAGAGTTTTGTAATTGCTTTAACGATAAAATATTATTAACTAACGAAATGGCCCAGAAACATCTCTTTAAGTCCATTAGTTTTCTGCCTGCACAGAAAATTTGATACGATGAAGCGAGTATTTTCTCCTGCACTCACTGAGTGCAGGATTATTAAAGGATTTTTTATATTATAAAATACTAATTACAAACTGTGAATCTAGAATCTCTCAGTTTCACTCAATAATTGAATTCCAAGTTTTATTTTTGTTTTAAACAAATGTCTTTGTACAAATAATTTAATACCATAGCAAAAAAAAGGTGTCTGAATACTACTTGTTATGTGTTTGGAAGGTGTCCTGACTACCGGTTAATATTTTGTACACATACAAATTTAATTTTAGTTTGATAATTTTTTTGCGCAATATATAAAATGTATGTCGTTTAAATAAATCTCGCTGGAAAACACTTATGAATAGCACTAAAACCCTAGATAATAAGTCTCATATTTCTGGATTTCACTTTATAAACCCATACCACACAGCAAGAATGGCGCTCATACAATCATTAAAACAATGATGTACTGCAGCACTGACTTTTATTACATGTTTTAACCTATGAAATTAATCATTTTTTTAAATAACTGCAGAGATTGTATAGAGTTGCAGAAAATCTCGTTTTTTGCTTCTTTAAGCTGTTAACGATTTGGAGAGCTGAAATTAGTAAGTTCTGGGTCAGAAGTATTTAGTAAACGCAAGTGAATTTTTTTCAATTACGTGCGAAGTATTATGCTACTCAACGAATTTTATTGCAAAAATTGTCGTTTTTGATTAGCGAGACATTTTACTTCAAAATGCAATACTTAATACTAATGTATATTTCGTGCATTAATATTTTGTGTAACTAATTTCGTATTTTTACTAGCACTTACCCTCCTCCTTCCGCAGACCTGATCTTCGCTCTGACCACTGTATACTAAGGAATGGTCACATTCACTTTTACGGCGTCATAATCTTGGCTCAAAGCAGTTTATTTCTGGATGGAGAGTGGGCGTATTTACTTAATTTTTTTTTCAAATTTATTTAGTTTAGTCTGAGGTCATTAGAAATAGCGTTAGTGAACGCTCTCACACACCATGCAAAGTTCATTTTTCTAAAAAATCAAAGGGCATTGAATCGTCTATAGAAGATTTGGACATCGGTGATAAATTTATAATATTTGAGGAAGATGAAATAAACTGATAATGGACTTTAATTTGTATACTACGTTCAATTTAGAATAAATACGCCAATTTTCCTACTTTCAATTATTCATTCACATCCTGGTGATAAGCTTTTAGATGTGGACTCTAAAACTATTTAGTTATTATTTATTAGTTAATCCTTTACGTAATTTAATTTTGTTTCTTTATTGAAACACGTTCTTATGCGGTAATAAAAACTCGTAATGAAAATAGAAGTAACATTAGCTTTCCCCAAGCGACAATGATAGTTCTATTATTATAAAGCAGAGAGAAGTTAAAAAAATCGTCGGTGCACAAGACAAGTGACATCTTTAAAATTCTCATTTTCCTGGTAACCAGTTTTAATACGAGAGGGGCGTTTTCTTAGCAAGGGAAGTAATGTAACTTACTCACTTCTCTTGTGTAATACATGCCTTGACTCTCAACCTTGTCTTTATAAAAAATTTTACTACCAGTAATAAAATATACTATTTTCTAAAGCTATTTGTTCACTTGACTCAAGTATGAGATGAGTCACTATTCTTGTGGGTCAACGGTATCCGGTGCTAAAAATATGCTCATTTATCGTGCATCCTCATTCAAAGAATAGACACATCAACTCATTGAAAGGTGATTGTAAGGGGCATCATGTACATCATCGGAATTTATTTATATGAATGATTTTATTTTATTACGTAATAAATGTTCTTTTTTTTAATTTAGAGGAATTTTTAATTGAAACAATAAAATCAGAGACACTTTTTACTTCAATGTGCAACATCTCTCGAATAATCTTCTATCAATTTTCACAACTCAACATTTGAGAATATATTTTGTACAATCTAGGCCCTCGGGTGAGGCCAGGAAACGGAACAAGTGATACGTACTACTTTGTCAGAGTTTTTAGAGTCATATTATGTACACAAATGGTCTGCATCAGTCAGGGTCGGCGGTAGTGCCTCCTGGGCATAAACTCCGCAGTTACGTCAACAAAAATATCCTTTCACAAGCACTGCAGCCGTGACAGCGACGAGGTTCGAAAGGCTGTTCTAGATCATTTCAACCCTTATTTCGCCACGACCACATGATGCTAGTTGATTAACAGTTAGTCATTTTGTGCTTGAATTACCGTGTTTATGACCTTGAACGTGAAGAAAAAGTTCAGACAGGTTGTAATCAATATGTGTCGATTCTCGCGAACTGTCCATTATTAATCGAAACGATTCTGGCAACTAACATGTTTATATATTTCACTTTTATAATTACTAACATATTAGATATATCAACAGAAACAATCAAAATCACATTAGTAAATCAGCTCTGCGAAATTTACAATCGTTTAACGCGTATGTAATTAATTTGATCAATTACTTCAAATTCCATTAGCAGAAATTCTCAATATTTACAGTACGTCCTAGATGGGAGGATCAGCATGTCATACACAAGCGACACTTTCGCTGCTTTCCTTGGTTGTGCAGAGGGCGTGTGTTTTATATCAGCCCCATTTGTATGCACGGACTTCCTTCAGCGAAGGTCATCACCGCTAAATTTGAACACTAATGTCTTGCATCGCTTCCTGGTAGTTCTGCGTTCATAGATGGTCAAAGCACGAGAAAAACAGATGGATCAAGCTTCCTTACCACATTTCCATTAAGAAAAAGGGTTGTCTTAATACTTTCAACCTATTTACACCTAAACGATAGATATTAACCTTTTTATCTGTTGCATTTTCCCAAAGTCATATCTTACATGTCACTTTTCATACATATTTTATAGTAATACGAGTTTATATGATAAAGATTTACACAGGCTAAATTACATTTTACTACTACGGATGCAAAGGAATAAACATTCTTGCTTTGACGTTAGAATAAATATACATACATAAAACATTTTTATCGTAGACGTCTGGTAACATTTCTCTTTTACTTACATATTTTAGCAAATTTAGGAAATAGTTTTACTTTGATCGCGGAAGAAAATTTTACCATCGTGTTTAGCTGGTACGCGCACGAGCAATGCACAAGAATTGGCGACAGCATCGCAAAGTGGAGAAGGAAATGTGAACATACAACATAGCGCAAATAGAAATGTAATGATGTGTTAGGTAAGGGATGTATGGGATGCATTTAAGGTCATACTGAAATGCATTGAAGTCAGTCCACATGAATAATTCTGTACAGTAAAAAGAAAAGGGATTAACAAGACGCAGGTAAGCAATTTATCTCATTAGTTTATCTTTTATACATTTTACTTACAAAACGTCTTGACTGAATTTTTGTGATGTAATACTCGTATGTTATGTAATCTTACAATGCAACAGTAAGACGATATAGTCAAATAAAACATTATATTAATACATTGTCGTTTTGTTTTACTCATCATGAAATATCACTTGCAATGTACGCTAATCAAATACTTTACTATCAATGTGTTGAGGCACATAGTCGTGGATTAATTACACCTTCAGAGCAGGCGAGATTAGATTCAAATCGCTGTAAAGGCCATGAGATTTACACTTGAGAGTCGAGAAAATTCAAATATCGCAAAATTAATGGTGAATGGGTACCAAAAACTCGAGAGGGCTAAATTGACATTACACGAGTAATCTTATGTGCAGGCAGTGATCTCAACAAAAGTAACTTTGGTAACACCCTTTCCGTATAATAATGAAAACTTACAAAAAACACTACACAAATAAATATAGAAAAAATACGAAAATTAAACTAAAAAGTAATTTTAAAATTAAATTTCACAACGCTAACTCCGCTATTCGCGTTCATACAATAAGACACAACATTCTGTTATGGGTACTTTAATGTAAGTGTACCAGGAGCATCCGTTCTCTAAGAACATACCTAGATTTGATTCATTTTTGTCCAAAAAGAATAAAAAACTGTTCGTGACGAATGGGTAGAAGTATAACCTGTTGACGTTTTTGAGCTCCAGAATATTTTTCCGTTCATAGTTAAATGATGAATAAATATAACAACAAAGCACTGTAATCAACATTTGAAAACAAAAGTTTCGCTCCCGTGTTATAGGAATTACAACGACAAACGAACTACAGATGTGATTTTAGAGTATTGCTACCAAAATAACAATCCGCCCCCTCGCGTATACTTATAACTCAATTAGCAAAAATAGATCTCAGCAAAAGGTGAGCATAGTGATGATGCATTTTTTACTAGACAACAAATTTCTCGCGCGTTCCCACGGAATACTTAGCCAGAAAGAGCTGGCAACAGTTTCCTTATAAACAACATGCCTTCTGGTACTCCATTCTCTTCACTTCAAGGTAATCTTGTCTTCGTTGCAGTACTCATCATTACAACCGCGAATCGAGCTCGCGGTTGAGTGGTGCTGTAATTGTGTGTTTAAAGTATTCGGATTCCGTACACGGGCGAAATCGGCAAGAGTTATAGTTATCTTATGTTACCATCATCGTTATGAAGTTATTTAATAAAATATTAAAGGAATATAGATAATATAAATGGATTAGAACACAAATTTGAAGGGAAACCTTTTTTTTCAATTTACCACTTCCACGTTTATCTGGAGAGTGTGAGAAATTCCAATATGTGAAGTCATTGGCTAAGTCTGCAAAATACAGACATTTGTTTAACCCCAATTCCCTTAATACTCGGTAATTGCATGGACTAAATGAGAAAGTCATGCCAATTCACATCCCATCTCTGATAAAAACTTCACTCCTCTAGGAAACGAAAGTTAAAAACTGTCCCTCTACGTAAGAATTGTCCAGAATTTGTATGTTTCAAATAATTCAATATATCGTTCATAGGCAGCAGTAGTGACACAACTCAAAAACTCAGGTGTTCAGATAAATGACTTGAAGTTTTTACCTTGTTTTGAAATACATCACTCTTGCATTCAAACGTTTGCCATATAATGATGTAATTCTCAATTGTAAATATGCTGCTGTTTCTGCCAGAAGTTAGATCAATCTGCAGTTCTGAAGAGTGCATTAACTCAAAATTCGTATTTTTTAAGTTGTGCAACGGTTGTGCAGAGACATTGCAGAGTGCATTCAAGTTAAATCAACGTTCAGTTACGAATCTGGATAGTAAGACCGGTTACCAGTGTAGTGAAGTTTTAGTGCAAAACCTACGTAAACAGTACGTTACAGCAAGGAATTGCGTCTGATTGCAATCATTTCATCCTAAACAATACAGAGGTCTGATTCGTAGCCATAACCCCAACAAAGCGATTCGCACCAAACTTCTCTCATCCCCGGATAATAGTACACAAATCCGGTTCTTCCAGCCAGCAGCGAACTTGAACGGCGAAGCCCGGCGATGTCCGAAGGACGACGCATGTTATTGCTGGAATGCCACGGGAGAAGGAAGCGGCGCGAGCGGCGCGGGAGGGCAGCGGGACGGGCGGGCCGGGCCGCTTCGGGGACGCACCTACCTCCTGCGAATTGCACGTCTCGGGCCGGCCGGAGACCTTTTCTTCTCTTTGGCGCCCCTCGCGCGCACGCCGCACGCTCACCTTGGCCCACGCCGCCGCTCCGCCGCCGCCGCCACCCGCCGCCAGAGCCTCCTCACCTGCACCACGTCCGGAAATAACAAATAATAGCAACAATACAAATGACAACACTTTGAATTGGTTTTCTTTATTAGTCATCAAGTGTTATGTTACAACACTTCTTGCAAATGCGTAAAGATAATTACAAATTTAGAAAATTAATTTAATAAAAAAATAATATATTATTATTATTATTATTATTACCCAAAGAAAAGAGGAAAGAGGCAGAAAGTTGAAATAAGCGTTGTCCATAGTGGCTCATTCGAAAAGAAAACAAAATCAACATCGACATCATATTCACAACCTCCGGCCTCGCAAAGATTGACTTACTTAAAGGAAAGTAGTACTAGCACATTGAAAGAAGTCTCACAAAGGGTTGGTTTGTTATAAGATTTGGAAACACGAACGTAGTGAGACTTTAATGTAAGTGCTTACATAGTTCTTCTGAGTTTTTGGAGTACATGATGTTATTGATTCTAGTTCAAAAAGTGAATGATAGGTGTTCATATTGTACTGCTACAGAGATAGGAACTGATATCTGCTAACACCACGAGTATTCGTACATTATTGTTGTATTCAGTAGTATATCAGTGTAGTATTGACAATAAACGATATCATGACAACAAACTGTTACTTGTTCAAAATCACGCTGAAGTATTGATTAAATCATAACATTCTTTGCTCTCAATGATAAAGAAATGATAAATGATTCCAGAACATTCGTTGGCTGTACACATATTTTACTATTGCCCCAAATAAGAATTTCAAAACTAGAGATGTTACAGCGTTACAGTTAATGAGACAGCACATACTGTCTTACATTATTTCTAACTTTTGCAATTTTTGAAAATTCAGAGAGTTCAACGAAAATGAGATCTGCACCAATGTTTAAGCATACCTTGTTCCATCCCCCTCCAAAAATAAAAGAAGAAAATTGGAACGGTTTTTGACAACAGGTTTTATTAATTGCATTAATTTCATGCATAAATTACATGAAAACGTCACATTTTTTAACAAATAACTGTCCATGACACATTTTAATTATCTGATTTTTTAAATAGATTTCATGTAACACAAAAATCGTATCTTCAATATTGTAGTTTTGCAAAGCTAACTTTTTGCAATTTTCGAAAATACGGAGTTCGCCGAAAACGCGAATATTTTTTTTATTATCCTTTGATACTTACGAGAACTTTTATACAGTCAATTACTGATTTTCTGCTGCTGGGTTTACGTAAAAAAATGCTTCACACAAGTGTTCACCAAGTTTTCCAGTATCTCTCATCAACCATGATATTATGAATCAAGTCTTGACTGTTGCGGCCTCTATAAGCTTTATACGAAGTTGACGTTATTTATTAGTCCATTAATCTTGTGCGCATGGGTGGCATTATTAACCGAAAATACGTGATAAAAAAGACTGGACATTGAATTGACATTGGAAAAGTCATTCATCAAGAAACAACCATATTAGAAGGACACAGTTTTACCTTAAGAAATTTGAACAGACTAGACAACGGACATGAAAAACAGAATGGTAGGAAATTTTAACGAAGTTTTTCGAATCTTGAGCATTGTGAAGATCCCTTAAACAATTTCAGAAGATTTTTTTGTCCGCAATTTAAATCAACTTACTATTTACCTTCTTAAAAATAGAAATACCTTTCATTAAGGGGAGGAGAGTTAAACATTGCTGTAATGTCATATAAACGTTTAGTAAGAATGCTACTTATTTATATTTACTGTAAAAAACATCAAAAATCTGTATATGAAGTTTGAGGTAAGACTATAATAAGCGCCCACTTTATAATCTGTTCAGCTAAGTAATTTTATGAACATCAATATTTTGAATTCATATTTTTATTTGCGAATTAACATTCAGATTGTTGTCTGTGTATACTGTACACGTCGAATATTAGTTTTTCGATCGAATACCATCGGATATGCATTTTGCCATCATTTAAACGACTACTTTAGAGTACGACGCAACTCTACAAACACCACGAAAAAGTTATCATTTCCAATATTACATTTGTAATCCAAAAAACTTTAAGTAACCCATATTCTACACAGACATTTCCTTCTCTATATATGTACTTCCCCACTTTCAATTGGTCGACACTCGTCAACCAGCTTAGCGTGGCGCGTCTGGCGGCCATTTTCATATTCACAAGTTTTATTTGTGCATTGCACTTCATAATAAAAATAAATTTTGTATACATTGTAGTTACCCGTTTCGTTCATTTTCAAGTATAGATAGTTACATGTAAATGTGTTGATTAATATACTTGTTTAATTTTTTTGTTTCACTACAAAATTAGATTTATTTTTCGTTAATCGATTGATTATAATCATTAATAATTATTCATGATTCATGTAATATCTGGAAAGAAATTATCGTAATTCACAGAGTTTCACCATTGTACTCGTGGTTGCACTGAATACTGATAAATTTTTAGTATACTTGTTACTGCTTGCAACTTTTTTTTGGTATCTACGAATTAACAATATTATAACATCTATGACTCAATGTGTTTCAATGACTAGTAAGAGGTGATAATTTTGGCATTTAAAATTTCCGTCAATATTGTGTCGCAAATCGGTGCCCGAAGCTCATTGGTTGAAGTCGCATACGATGCGCAAGAGCTCATTAATCTCTTTCTACCATGGGTTACACTATTAGTGCAGAAGGATTTAATCAGTGCAGTAACAGATAATCCTGTCTCGCCTTGTTTTGCAGATACCTAGCGTTGCGGACAGCAAGAGAGTCACGGGAGGTGAAAATTCGTTTAGTTGGCTGAAGTCGCTTTGCAAATTACTGGATATTTTTTCTTCAAATTTTCTATCAGAGTCACTACCGTTCTTCCCTATCAAGAGCGTTGTACGAGCAGTTAACACAAATGGGCTAAATACCATCGACATGCCTTAGGTCAGAAACATTGTGTTTTCGTATTCGTCTGGAAAATTCAACTGACAAGATGCGTTTGGTGATTGTTACTGCTGTTTCATTAATGACACATCAATTACGACCATAATAGATGCTTATTGAACTCCTTGAAAATATGAATGACTCAAAAGACAAATTTTTGTCCCTGTCTCAATTATCTTTATGACATCATACTTAAAATACGATTATAGATTAGGCAAAGTGTATTTTTCAATTTCTCGCAATTTACTATATACATGGAGGTGAACAAAAATAAAATAAAAAACAATAATTACACACAACTATAATGTTATTCTGCTGTTCAGTTACTTTTGTGAAACACATATGCGTTTGTAATTTTAATAATCATTAAGAAGTTATAGTAAAAAGAGAAACCCAGTCTTTCAACAGCAAAGGCTACGTGAAATTTTCCCCTATCTCTCGCCCTCGTCTTTTTCAATTCTAACTTACTTATGAATGCAGTTTTCAATTCACTTAGTTCATTCCTGTTATCACTAAAACGCTTATAGCAACATCGTTGACCGCATTACTACATCACTGCTTTGTCTAAAGAATAAAAACAAATTTGACAGTGCTTTAATTTCTATAATATAAATGACAAGGAACAACTTCAAAATATCAGATAGCAATAATTTCAAAATACCGATAAAGACAGACTGTATGTTGGAAGAAATCGTGTAACTTTGAAGTTAGTTTATTATTTCTTGACGTATTTTCTTAAATCTAAAACTGTTCTATAAATGTGGTTGACAAATTTCATTGCTTAAAAACACACTTGAACACTGTAATTCATTATATATCTGTCTCTAGAGTACGCATTATATTTATGTTATATTTAATTATTCGCAACAGTCCCCAAGTTTCGGCCGTTCTCCAAATCTCGGCACACGCTTCAAGACATCTTCCTGGACTGCTTCGGAATAACTCTTACTCCGAAACTTCAACACATAATGCAATGAAGAAAATTCGGTATCCTTCCCCGGCAAAAACTTCCTTGTACAACCGCAGAGGCCGCCACAACCTTCACCACTTCCGGGAAAAATGATTTTATCGGTTGTAACCCAACGCTCAAAAAGAAACACGGCGAGATGAGACTGTATCGACAATCGCTTTATTTGTGAATGCATTGTTTTGTTGAGTAACATTATGAATTATGTATATCCGAGATGTGGCAATCTTCTGAGTAGAGGAAAAAGGCAAGGATACCTAAAGTATTTTTTGTCACACGGCGCTAATCTAGTTTAGCTACACTTAAGCACACCATCATAGTTCACTGGAAACATTTTGTTGTTTTTAATGAAACTTGTAATAGTCTCGAAAGGATTTATATCAAGTAGTTCTCCTTATTCCGGCCTGTTGTTTCAGACATCATCCTGAAAATCTCTAATTGAAAACGTTTTCAGACCTTTAAAAAAGTATGTGTATATCAACACGAGAATATCATATATAAAATATGTATTATATAGACTTTAACATTTCAATATAAATTATGCATGCATCCTTTGTTAAGTAATCTAATATAATTTAAGTCTTAGAGTGTGTTGAAAAAGTTCATTCCATTTTTTTATAAATGGAATGAATATTTCAATTATGCCAGAAAGTAAAAATAAAGCAAAATAATATTATTCTAAATCGGTCTGCAGTTAATACGTCGTTTACATAATTAAACTTCGAGTTTTTCTCTATTTCTTTTAATTAGAATACAAGAAATATAAATTCCACGATGTTGTGAGTCTACTTGGTGAAACGCGAAACGATGTAGCTCCCTACGTCTTCTTCAAAATTCAAGCAGCTGTTGCTGGAACTCGCTAACTCAAACACAGGTCCAGCAGAAAGCTCCCAGTATAAACTATGGATGCCAACACCTTCCTGTATGGCAGCCCGTGCTTCCTGCCATCCACACTTTCAGCCCCACTTACAACGAACGTAAATAACAAAAATAGAATTGCATTCCTCTTCTTCACAAGGGCACCTTCCTCATCGACGATTTTTTTTCATGTCTCAAGTATATCATATTTGATGATTGGGATCTGATGATTAGGTCGGTTAGTGCAGGGAATTCAACGTTAGTTTCATAAGACCACAAGTTAACAAGAACATCATGAAATTGAAACGTTTCTGTAACTTGATTCACCGGGAAAGGTTCTTGTTC